CTGTATAGTTTTGCATATATTCCTATGGACCTACTTCTAAGGGTACAGTTTAAAAACTTGCCATGAGACCCCAAATCCCATTAAGCTGGGTGGTAAAAATGTCATCTTAAGTGTTAAAGTGACCATAGTGTTAAAGCGATCATAGGAAGTGTTAAAGCAAATATATAGATACGATTAAGTGTTAAAGTGATCATATAAAAAGGATGTTCTTTTCTCTGAAGGGAGGAGAGGACTTCCACATTCCTTATGGGCCTGTCTAAATACTGATGGAGTTTGTGGATTCAAAAGGTCCATAGTGGGCCGGCGCCGAGGCTCACTAGGCTAATCCTCCATCTTGCAGCGCCGGCACACCGGGTTCTAGTCCCGGTCGGGGCGCCGGATTCTGTCCCGGCTGCCCCTCTTCCAGGCCAGCTCTCTGCTGTGGCCAGGGAGTGCAGTGGAGGATGGCCCAAGTCCTTGGGCCCTGCACCCCATGGGAGACCAGGAGAAGTACCTGGCTCCTGCCATCGGATCAAGTGCGGTGCGCCGGCCGCAACGCGCGGGCCGCGGTGGCCATTGGAGGGTGAACCAACGGCAAAAGGAAGACCTTTCTCTCACTGTCTCTCTCTCTCACTGTCCACTCTGCCTGTCAAAAAAAAAAAAAAAAAAAAAAAAAAAAAGTCCATAGCCATGGCAGCTCATGTCAAGATCCTCAGGTGGTCATTGATGTCATGCATAAAAGTGTTAATTGTTAAGTTAACAACACAAGTCACTGTGTACTAACTTCCCATGCAGGACCTCTGTCCTCAAAGAGTTGTACTATGAGAGTTAACTGTAAAACTTGTTCTCAGGAGTTTTTTTAGTGTGTGTGTGTGTGTGTGCCAATTATTGAAATCTTTACTTAGTATAGAGTTGGTCTTCTGTGTATAAAGTTAATTGAAAATGGATCTTAGTGGAGAATGGGACTGGGAATGGGAGAGGAAGGAGGAGGTCAGGTGGGGGTGGGAGAGTAGGTATGGTGGGAAGAATCACTATATTCCTAAAGTTGTACTTATGAAATTTGTGTTCCTGAAATAAAAGTTTTCTTTGGGGGGAAAAAAAAGGAATCAGTGGTTTCGAAGGTTTCCTTCCCCTGTTCAGAGACTCCTGATCCTATTCCATGTAATGTTCTTTATGCAAACAAATATAGCCAACACCTCCAAAACTGTGGCGTTTGGGATGGGGAATTTTTTTATAATTTGAATTTATTTAATATAATGGTTTGGAAGTGACACTACATTCACATGGTTCAAAAATTATGGAGCTGGGGGCCGCGCCATGGCTCACTTGGTTAATCCTCTGCCTGCGGTGCTGGTATCCCATATGGGCACCGGGTTCTAGTCCCAGTTGGGGTGCCGGATTGTGTCCCAGTTGCTCCTCATCCAATCAAGCTCTCTGCTGTGGCCCGGGAGGGCAGTGGAGGATGGCCCAAGTGCTTGGGCCCCCACACCCACATGGGAGACTGGGAGGAAGCACCTGGTTCCTTCAGATTGGTGCAGCACTGGCCATAGCAGCCATTTTGGGAGTGAACCAACAGAAGGAAGACCTTTCTCTCTGTCTCTCTCTCTCACTGTCTATAACTCTACCTGTCAAATAAAAAAAAAATTGTGGAGTTGGCATTGTGGTGTAGTGGGTTAAGCTGTAGCCTGCGGTGCCAATATCCCATATGGATGCTGGTTTGAGACCCAACTCCCTGCTAATGCATCTGGGAGAGCAGCAGCAGATGGTCCAAGTGCTTGGACCACTGCACCCACATGGGAGACCCAGATGAATTTCCTGGCTTCTGCCTGGCCCAGCTGAGGCTGTTGTAGCAATTTGGGGAATGAACCATCAAAAGAAAGATCGATCTCCCTCTTTCTCTGCATCTCTCCCTTTCCCTGTAAACTCTGCCTTTCCAATAAATAAATAAATCTTAAAAAGAAAATACATCCTAGCAATTGCTCCATGTTAACACATGGTATATCCTTGTCGAGGGACAATCTGGATGTTTCTTAACCATTAGCAGCATACACAATGCGGCAGCAAACAACTTGGCCGTGAGTCCCCTACATGCACAAGTATATCTGAGTGGTAGATTTCCAGAACTAAGAGTCCATAAGATGTTGATGAAATTCCTGCTCCAAGCATTTATCCAAGAATGGCCTGCATGTCAGATGGCGCCATCTGACTGTCTCCTGCTGTTTTAGAAGTTTTGGGAAGACTGGAACTATAATGTTACCACAGCCTAGAGAAGCACTGAGCTAACTTCTCAATCAAAAGGCTGAGATGTAGATGTCAATCAATAGGCACTTTTGAGTTTCTGTTTCAAGATGAAAATGGAACTCATAAAGACAAAAGCACTTAATACATGGTAGAAGTCTCAAGAAAGAGCCTATCCCTTCCAATCTAGGGACTGGGGTCCCTGTCCAGTAAATCTTCTGGGTTACCCACATGTGGAGACACTGACTGGTTACACAGATGGAAGCCCAAAGCAGGCCTCCCTGGTGCAGATCAGCCACAGGGCACTGAGAAGAGCACTTGTTAGAGATCAGTTTAAGTTCATAATTGATCATAAAGATAGGATTAAGTGTCAAAGGGATCACATAAATAAGACCAGTGTCTGTTAATAATAACTGATATAATTAAAAAGGAGAGAATGATCCTACATGGGGAGAAGGATACATGGCAGACTCATAGAATGGCAGATGTCCTAAACAGCACTGAGGCCTCAGAATCAGCCCTTAAGGCATTCAGATCTGGCTAAAAAGCCCATGAGAGTATTTCAGGCATGGAAAGCCAAGACACTGTTACAAAAAAAAAAAAAAAAAAACCTAAATGAAAGATCTCTGTGAGTGATCCCAGCGGGAAGAATGGGCCATCAAGGAAGGGGGTACCTTTTTCTGAAAGGAGGAGAGAACTTCCACTTTGATTATGGCCTTCTCTAAATAAGGTCAGAGTTTGAGAACTCAAGAGGCTTCCATAGCCTTGGCAGCTCATGACAAGAGCCTCGGGTCATTACTGACGTCATAAATAAGAGTGCCAATTGTTAAATCGACAGTGAGAGTCACTGTGCACTTACTCCCCATGTAGGACCTCTGTCCTTAATGGTTTTACTATGCGAATTAACAGTGTAACTAGTACTCAAACGGTACTTTATACTTTGTGTATCTGTGTGGGAGCAAACTGTTGAAATCTTTACTTAGTATATACTAAGTTGATCTTCTGTATATAAAGATAATTGAAAATGAATCTAGGGCCGGTGCCGTGGCTCAGTAGGCTAATCCTCCACCTTGAGGCACCAGCACACCGGGTTCTAGTCCCGGTCCGGGTGCCAGATTCTGTCCCGGTTGCCCCTCTTTCAGGCCAGCTCTCTGCTGTGGCCCGGGAGTGCAGTGGAGGATGGCCCAAGTGCTTGGGCCCTGCACCTGCATGGGAGACCAGGAGAAGCACCTGGCTCCTGCCTTTGGATCAGCACGCGATGCGCCGGCCGCGGCGGCCATTAACCAATGGCAAAAGGAAGACCTTTCTCTCTGTCTCTCTCTCTCTGTCCACTCTGCCTGTCAAAGATAAAATAAAAAAAAAATGAATCTTGATGATGAATGGGATGGGAGAGGGAGTGGGAGATGGGATGGTTGCAGGTGGGAGGGTGGTTGTAGGGGGAAAAGCCACTATAATCCAAAAGTTGTACTTTGGAAATTTATATTTATTAAATAAAAGAGTTTTTTTTTTTTTTTTAAGAAGTGAGGCCCAGCTGGGAGGCAAGGGAAATGCACACTTGGACTGGGATATCTGCAAGAGAGAGACCCACGGACAATGAGAGAGCTCAGTGTTGGCTCCATCAGCTTCTTCTCCACTACCAGGGCAGCCGGCGGGAGGGGCTCCTGGCGTGGCTTGGCAGCTCCCATGCTTGTCAGCAAAGAGGCCGGCCAAGGGCATGGTACAAACTCAGAAGAGTCCTGCACAGGGCAGCAGCTGCACTTCCCCAGCTCTGCTGCTACCCCTGCACACAGGCCATGGGAGGACTCCCTCCCCACCAGGGCATGGCGGCCAATCGCCACTGCCACTGAATCCTTTAGCCACATGTAAAGAACTAGAGTGGCAGGTGGATGTGTCGCACATGCAATGCAACCCAGCCTTTCCCAAATTGCCTGTAAAGTAAGCTGGCACATCTTCTTTGGTTATCTCAATAATGTGGAAATATCATGCAAAAACTGCAAATATGTTTTTAATCTAGCGATTCCATCTCAGGGAATGAATTCTGCCAGGACACTTATAAAGTGGACCAAAGGCAAGCCTATTCTTGCTGAAATATTGTGGAGAGCAACGACATTAAACAAAAACAACCCATGTACTTATCTATCAAAACAGTAATGGTGTTATCCACAATACCATATCATGCAATAGCATTTGCAGCTGCTAGGAAAATGAGGCAAACCCAGGTGTAGGGAATGCAGCAACAGCTAAGATATGTTGGCTAAAGGAATAAAGGGGAGTTGAAAATGGCCAATATATTGTATGGTTTTATTTGTGATTTAAAAGAAGACATGAAAGAAACTTGTCTATGAAAATATATTAGATTATGGTCGCCACTAGGGAATGCAATTGAGGGAACCAGAGGAGAAAAAGGGAATTTTTTTAAATTTCATATGTTTTTGTATTGCTTTTATGATTTGAAAGCTCACTTGCAGCCAATCTGTTATTTCTTAGGTTCCTGTGGTGTGTAGATTATATATGGTTTAGTGGTCATTTTTTACTTAGAATGACCATAACTTTAAAAACCCTGAAAAAGGGTTTTTTGTGACTGAGTGAACAGCTATGGTTGACCTTAATTGAGATTCACAGAACTGACTTCAGCTTTGCAGGCATATACTCATATAGAAAGCTCAGTAAAATTTCCCATGATTACAAAAAATTGTTATGTTGAGCCTTGAGACTGCTGATGAGGTTGTCAATAATGTTAGTAGCGCTCTTGGTGACCTGCAGACTTCCCAACTGTCACTTACCTGGACACAGTTTGCAGGGACTCTTCGCAGTTCTTAGGTTTCCTGCAAGATTTCCCAGGCCACAGACTTAAAAAATATGAAAAATAATTTTGTATCATATTTTGTACAAGGTCAAGGAGAAATGAAGAAGAAAAGATGATCCCATGTTATGCAAGTGCGATGTTGCTAAAGAGCTGCTCAGGGCAGCCTCATATAAGCTGGATTCTGACATCTGGTTTTCAAGTCCTGATAATTGGAGCCATTCAGTCAGTCTCTGTGCCGGATCCTGAAGAAAGAGAACCTGAGACAAGAAGTGAGAAGATGTGAAAATGTCAAGGCAAGGAAAAAAAAAATTGGTGGATGCAATTGAAAATACACTCAACGTACAGCCTTCTGTGTTAAGGTGTAATCACAAAACTGGAATGCAGTAGACTACCACTTGGAAGCCTAATTTCCAGGTCACCTACCTACCTTTTCCAAAACTTCCTGCGGCTAACAGGATGAGGTCTTTGTTTACTAATTTAACAAAGTTTTCTAGTGTTGAAAGGTTTAGCTATTTGCCTTTCTGCAGTGCAGGGAGAAAAAAGTTCAGAACATACAATGTGCATGCAGTTGCCTTGTTGTATTAATTTTCTCCTCTCAGGAATAGTATTTTGTATTTGCAAATGTGCAGAAACCTATATTTTCTTCTCAGTAAGGTAACAAGTCTGTATCATAAGCATTATAAGCTGACAGATACACTAAGCAAGTGCATAACTGATCTTGTTATAGCTATAACCAGGTCTCGTTTAGGCAAGCGATCTCAGTCTGAAATTCATAAATAACTTTAAGAAATTTGCAGGACAGGGGCCAGCACTGTGGCACAGCAGGTTAAACTGCTGCCTGCGGGCACAGGCATCCCACAGGCGCACCAGTTTGAGTCCCAGCTGCTCCACTTTGGATCCAGCTGCCTGCAAATGTACATGGGATAGCAGCGGAAAATGGACCAACTGCTTGGGCCCCTGCACCCAGGAAGCTCCTGGCTCCTGGCTCCTGGCTCCTGGCATCGGATCAGCCCAGCTCTGGCCATTGTGGCCATTTGGGGAGTGAACCAGCAAATGCAAGACTTTCTCTCTCTCCCTCTTTCTCTCTCCTCTCTCTCTTCTGCTCTGTAACTCTGCCTTTCAAGCAAATAAATAAATCTTTTTTAAAAATGAAAAGAAAAGAAATTTGCAGAACCAAAGCACACTTTTGAGGTTAGCTCCCAAACCTTTGAGGGCTTCTGTTTTACAGATAAAGCACACTAATTGTTGGAATAGGAAATGGAGAGGGAAAAAAAGATCAGCAAATGAGTAAGAAGCAACAGAAATCAAGAGAAAAACAAAGACACCATGATCCAGCAATGAGACCGTTACCTAGTTCTCTCATTACCAAACAATTCATCTTCTACAATTAGAAAAATGAATGTAGTCTCCCAAGAAAATTTGCTCCTTCAAAATGAATATTCTATCTAGCATGTTTTAATTTCAAATATATGTGTTGGTGTAATTTGGGATTTTAAGGCACTAGCCTTCAACATTTATATTTTGGTTCCCAGAAACAAATTATCTTAACAACTAACCTGAAGTTCAAAATGCACAATTCCCGTTATTGGAATGCTATGGGCAAAAACATTTGTTTAACTCAGTTCTCAAAATAACCTGTATATAACACAGCAAACCAAAGTCCACACTGTTGAGTTAACTTCCTCAAATTCATTTTAGTATAGAATGTTTTCTCCACTGAACCACTCAACAACTTTGTTATCTACAGTTTCTCCAATACACGGCTGTTTGCCCCAATGTCTTAGCATCATAGCATCCTCTCATCAGAACATTGGTTAGGTTCCCTAGTGTGAATCACTTATCCAGTTGCTTGCCTGATTATTCACATGTTTTTGAGATTTGTGAAATGTGACAGATAAACAGGTTTATGCTGTGTGCGCCTTGGAGGGCAGCCAATGTCTGTCTGCCTATATAGTGTATTTACTCTCCTGCCTCAAATCTCCCTGCCTGACAGAGAATCTGTATTTTAAGACTAAAATCAGTGTAGAATGCAATCCAGTAATGTCACTGCAGAAAACAGCAGGTGCTCATCCACTCCTTGGCAGTGAAGAAAGTGAATCAATGATTCACCCGCTGGACAAAGAAACGTCACAGCGAACGTTTGGGAACAGCAAATGCCAGAAAGGAGCATTCTCGTCCAAAGGTGTGCCTGCTTGTAGAAAGCGAAAAGGACCTCCCTCTAGAAAATGAGGAATTTTGCTGAAGTGCCCTGGCTGTAAGAGCAGAAAGCAATGGCATGTTCCCTCTCTCCCAGCTTCTTCTGTTTCATTGCTTTTGTGTTGTACTTCTAAAATAAATATCAATAAATCATTGCAGTTAGATACTCTAATATAGACAGACATGCACTTGACTCCCTACAGTCATTACAATCGGAGGGGACTCTGATTAGGCTGCTTTACTTAATTAAGTGATATCGTCTAAAGAGAGTTCTTCCCTCCATTTTCTGTTTAACAGTCTTACAAAACACCAACAGAGGAAATTCATTCTGTTGTCTGCTTTCCTCATTGTAAACGGTTTCTTTTCATTCATATTTTACAGAAGATGTCATGGTAATGACATGGCTAATAAGCCAAGCTCTGTGACTCAGCGACACACAGATTCCTGCTGAAATCATCCCCAGCTATACAGAATGGAAGCATTTTCTTCCCCGGTTCCAAAAGTAGATTTTTAAAACTGATTTTCCAAGCATCTGTAATCTAAAATCAAAATAATGTAGACAAAAGATTTTTCCTAAAAACTGAACTCCATCTATTTTATGTAGGTTCAGCCAAGACCTTAAAAATCTGATTCTTTGAGAAAACAGAAAAAGTGTGCAAAGAATCAGCAATCCTTATGCATTAAATGTTATTTGTGAGGCACTTTGATTTTACTGAAAGAAGTCATTAAATTTGGATTGCCAATACAAATATGATTATATATGTTTTCTAAATAAATTGTTATTATGTTGCAACTGAACTCATCCATTTATTGTTTGTTTACCTCACGCTCAAACACATGTTTTATTCATAGACGTCTAGGAGAAAAAAATTTTGCCTGATAATCACACCAAGCATATTTAACAAAAGCGATTCTCCTTTTATTAGTGAATAAGTTTAAGCAGAATGATTTCATTTTTTTTTCCATTTAGTTAATTCAGACTTGCGGGACCCTTAGCTTACAAGCTTTTGTTTCTCCCCTGCTGCCTTTTATGCCCCTAATGTATGCATGCCTCTCCAGCGATGGGAAAATATCATTTCCTGAAACTCTTCCTTTTTTCCCTCTCCACTATTCTCTCAGCTGATTTCTAGTTTTAGCTAGTTTTTACTAGTTAGTTCTGTCAAATCACCTTGTGTCCAAGGCAGACAGACTGCAGCCAAGGAAACGGTACATTAGCCTGTTGAAGATCTTAAATTCTCTCCCATTAGAGTGAACTTGAATTCTAAATGTTATTTACTCATTCCTTTAAAAATGAAGTGCATATTGGTAGTTTTCAAGAAATTAAATGTTGTACAGGCTAGAAAGTAATCCAGAAGGTGATTTATTAATATCTATGAAATTGCTTTCATTAGCAAATAAAACATTTTAACAAAATATTTGCAGATTTAGCAATAGTCTTGTATTTAATTTAGCAATTTTATTTTTATTTAGAAAACAGCAAAAAATGTAAAAGCTCTCTTAAATCAATTCAACCAGTTACAAGATATTTTTACCTTAACACAATATGCAGATAAAAACATTTAAGAATCTGTAAACTGTAAATGCATGTAAGTCTCAAGATAGAAAAAGGATTAGCAATGAATCATATGGAAGGATTTTTTAATTAACTGGGAAACAATTAAAATAACATTGTAAGGAATAGCTAATAAGAACGTGAATTGTTTTAATTCCCAAGCTGTATAACTTGGTCATTCACCAAACAAAATAATGGTGCTGCTGATAATAATACATAATTGCTATGTGAATTAATTAACACCATTGGTAAAGTTTGGTTTGAGTTGGCTTTTTAAACTACAGACCATCCTGTGTGAGATCCCCACCTGAAGACATCCCAAAGTTACATAATTTTTCTTAACTCCCAAACTAAGAAAACCATAGAGAAACAGAAAAAACAGGGTGCTCCCCAGACCTGGTACTCAAAGTGAATCCCAGAAGTTGTTCTTAATTGCTTTAATTTTTAAAAGATTCTCTTTATTCAAAAACTAGCTCTACATTCATTCTACAGTTCATTAACTTTTAGAGTTTTTTTCCCTAATTTTGTAATGTAGATAATTTTTACAAGCAAGAGCTTAGTTAGCCTACTTTCTATTAAGCAAGCTTCTTTGTAGATTTTCTTTAAGCTCTTCATTTTAAAAGGTGCCTTTGTCCTGAAACTAAACATATGACATTCCTGCTCCCTCAGAAAATTTGTGAGGAATTGAAAAACAGCAAGTCAGTCTGATAGAGGTTTTATCCCATCCCCTCCCATTAGTTTCCTTTTTGAAAAATAAAAATAATTTTAAAAAATAAAGAATGTGGCTTTCTTCTTAAGATTTTAAGATGAATAAGAAGTGCGGCTAATGAAGTAGCACCAAAGTTAGAGCAGCTACTGAATCGTTATCTGGCAGAATTGAGAGTCCTATTTTGCCTGAACCAATTATTTTTATCAAATGACTTTTCCACCTAAATTGTTTGCTATAAGAAACACTGATCTGAGAGATATGCAGAGTTACTGTGACAGGCGTTTTTAGACTGTTATTCCAATTCCTGTAAGTCAAACCAGAGGCGCCAGAGCCGATGGTAGGCAGTTATTTACAGAAACTGCTTTTTATCAGGGCAGGGAGCATTTGTAGCTAATGCCCAAACCTGATAGGCAAATATTTTGGATTTGTAAAATCTCAACACAAACATCACTCCATCTTTGGAGTGATGCACAGTCTTTCTCTCTGTGTTTGTGAGTGGAGTGTTCTAAAAATTTGTGATCATAGCTGTTTGTCCCTGCAGAGCGGCAGAAAGAGCAGATTTTTTAAAAAGAACCTAGCTAAGAGACCCCCAGCTACAATGAAGTAGACCGAATCCTCGCACAGAAGGGCACAAAGAAAAAAGTTTAGTGCTGGAAAAAAGAGAATTCCTCGAAACTAGTATTTTCTTGTCTTTCTACAGAAATGTGATGAGAGCTCAAGAGAGAAAATATTTAGCAATAAACTTTTCTGAGGGCACATCGTGTGTGCTGTGAGAAAAGAAAGTA